AATGTTGTCACAATTGCGCTTTTCAATTGAAAACAGACATCATCTTTAGAGACATTTGTCATCTTTAAAGACTTCTTCACGCCATTTTTCGAGCCGCTCGTTCAGTTGAGCCAAAAAAAACATGCATAACTTGTCTGATATCTCTGTTACAAACTCTGGTCATCAACTCTGGTTTTCAGTTGAAATTGGAATTGTTAATTTACACAATAATAGGAGTGCATTGACGATTTTTTCTTAACTCGCAAAAATCTTCAANTGGTTTTGAACCAGGGGAGACTCCTAGACCCCACTGGACAATGTTGTCACAATTGCGCTTTTCAATTGAAAACAGACATCATCTTTAGAGACATTTGTCATCTTTAAAGACTTCTTCACGCCATTTTTCGAGCCGCTCGTTCAGTTGAGCCAAAAAAAACATGCATAACTTGTCTGATATCTCTGTTACAAACTCTGGTCATCAACTCTGGTTTTCAGTTGAAATTGGAATTGGTAATTTACACAATAATAGGATTACACTTTACAATTTTTTCTTAACTCGCAAAAATCTTCAAACAATTTGCTATCGATTGGTGATAAAATTTTTTGGAAATAATGAAATAGAGGGGATAACGTCTTTTTTTTCAGAGGTGATTTTCCGAAAATTTATTTTAAAAAAAGTACTAACTAGCAAATGTTTTTTATTAGCTCGCAATTTTCTTCAAAACTACTTCAATGAGGAAAAAAATAAAAATTTGGAATATCTGTACATGAGGGGCTAATTGATCGGATCTATAAATTCGCAAACCTCTCCGTATCGCCCTCTAGGATCCCCTGGAAGCAGCATTATTTGCATATAATAATAAAATTTATTAATCAATTGCGAATGGAGGAGTGGAATGCTGAGAAAACTCGAGTTTCCTCTGTCTCGTAAAAAACGTAACTGCACGCTCCACATTTTTACTGTATCTCCGGCGCTCTTCCTTATTTCGTTTTTCCATTATTTCTCATCCATCGGAAATTTTAAATCCCAGGAGGAATTTCTTTGTTTCTTTATCATGAGTGAGCAACAGTTGAAATTCCGATGATTTACTGAAAAATGTGGAGCTGTTTGTGGAGGGGATTAGCTTATCTGGGGAAGTAGTGAAAATAAAACGAAAAATTTATTTTTGCATAGTTTGAGAAGACCTTTTTGGGCAGAATTTTCTGTTACAATCACTCGTTCTCAAGACAACTGTTGAATTGAAATAATAAGAACTTTAATTATCAGGAGACATTATTTGTGACACATTGTCTCAGCTGCAAAAAAGTATTCAATTTTTTCCTCTAAAATCATTTTTTTAAAGAGACAATTACATATTCAGTAAAGGTTAACTCATGTTTTTCTAGTTTTTCGTTACAAAAAAAATGCCTTCACATTTTTTTCTTAAAATCCCTCATTTCCAAGACAATTATTTACTCAGAAAAACTATAAATTCATGTTTTGATAATCAATTTTTGAATTAAAACAATGAGAATATAGAAGAAAATGTCAGTAGTCTTGAATTTTTTTCTTTCAAAAATTAATTTCTGAGAGCCAAGTGCATAATTAGCAAAGATTAACTCATGTTTTATCGAATCCTCAGCTATTTTTCAATTGGACTCCTGTCTATTGGTTTTTCGTCTTCATATTGGAAGCAATCCCGTCGACAATGCTGTACAGACCCCCCCCCCCCCCAACTTAATTGAAAATTGATTGAATCCACTAACGAGAATTTCCATTGGTTTCAGACCGTGAGGACCAATCAATTTTGTGTACTGGTGAATCTGGAGCCGGAAAGACAGAGAATACAAAAAAAGTTATCCAGTATCTTGCCTACGTGGCTGCCTCAAAACCCAAATCGAATGCTGTGAGTCGTGTTATTTCATCATTACAAATGATTTAATCAGAATATTTTCAGAGGATGTATTTTTTGTTTAATCGAATGAATCATTTTACATACCAATGAACTCGCTTACCTCAGCTGGAACGGACAGTTGATTCACCAAATAAGAAATTATAGTCAGCTGAATTCGACACCTTCATTATTATCTTTTTTGACACAATTAGAGTCATAAAAATTCCTTGAATTGTTGGAATTTAAAAAATAACATTTCAACCACAAAACGGAAGTCTTCCCACAGTTTCCACTTCCCCACGCTGGAATTTCCGATTATTGACTCATGAACTCGATCCTTTTTTATTTTCAAAATTTATTTCAATAGCTTTGGTCATCAAAATCTTTTAATCGTCATTTTCCATCACGAAAGTTCCTGAAATTCTTCAAAATAGATCAATTGATCGTCAATTCTGCCGTTTCTTGTGATTATCCAATGGGAAAATTATGCATTCCTGTTGAAAATTATTCAATTTTACGATTTTTTAAAGGAATATTTGCTAAAACACAGCAAATTTTTCATTAAAAAAAGAGAACACAATTTCCTAGGGTTTTTTATTCAATTTTGTCACATGTGGAAAACATTGATTTCTCCCCTCTCGCCACCAACTTCTTTATTCCTCACAAAAAATCATGAACACATAAAAAAATTGAAAAAAAAAAATTCTACAAAAGTGTGCTAGTCCTATTGAAGCTATTTTTTTCTGACTCCCGGTAAAAATTATGCAATTTCACAATTTTTTAAATGAAAGATGCTGATTTTTATATACAACTCATTTTCTTGCGATTTTTTCTATGAGAAAAAATCTGGGGCATGAATTTTGTAATGAGGAAAACAAAATTGGAAAACTTATAGCCAATAATTTCTATAGAAAAATATCCTGAGGGAATAAATCATAGCAGAATCAAAATCTCAACTTTGTTCTATCCAATGTCTGTGGAAAAATCGTGTAGAGAAGCGAATTATTCATAAAAAAATTAATTACTCGTAAACATGAAGACCAAAATTTTCTAGGGTTTTCTATTCAATTTTTCCACTCGTGAAAAATTGAAGTCTTGAATTTTCCCTATTGTCAATAAAATACATCCCAAAAATATTCCTTGACACTTTCCCCTGCAATAATTCTCGCAGCCCTGAGGCGCAGCTAAATCTCACAAAATAAATCCAACCAGAACAGAACAAGATCAGAGCCTTATTCAGTCACAGCCACAGTTTATTTTCTCCTCAATTCGATTCAAAGATAAACATCCTCTCTCCCTCTCGCCTTCAACATCTCACTCCCTCGAATACCGGTTTTTGTTGATGTCTGTGATCAATTCCATCCATCGTAGAAAATATTTCGCAATCGTTCAATGATCGCGTCATCCAATTGCTCTCAGTACAGAGCACTGATTGATCCAGGTCAAGAATCTTCGATACCCATTCGTGTCTCATTACTCGAAACATCGGATCGATAGATCATTCCCTGTTCTTCCTGGAAGGTATTAATTAACGATCGTGTCCGATCGTTATCCCTTTTGCTCAAAGTTGAATCATTTATTTCTGCGGTTTCCTGTCCTTATGAAATTATTTTCCTTCGTCGAAATGAATTGGGTAATTGTACTGCGTATTTATTGGTTGAGTCTGATTGAACTACTGTTTTTCATTTGCATCTGATTGGAAAAATCGTTATCGATTGCAGTTTTAAAATTTTTTTGTTGAAATTTACAGTTAAAAACTCAAAATCTTGGGAAGAAATCAATGGAATCGGTGAATGTCAGTTCAATTCCCCGTAAAATTAATGAAAATCAGGAAAATTCAGGTAAAAACATTCTTGAATTTTCAATTGAATGAAAATTCTGCCTAATTTGGCGCTGAATATTCATGTTTTAATTGAAATTTCAAGTGACTTGAGGAATTCTTGTCCTCCTCCGTCTCAAAAATTTGGAATTGCATTGAATTTTCAGTAAAATCTGAAACTCCATAATTTTTTTTCTTCTAACAGTAGATCGAACTCACTCGATGAGTGTAAAAATGATTCATTTGGTTATTTATCAACGATTTTGATGAATAGGTTCTGTAATTAATGCGATTCTCAAGGTACTTAAGAATATTGTCACTGCACTTTGATAATGCCACTGTGAAAACTCAGCACACTGTACTACACACAGGAAATTGGATATTCTTGTACAAAAGACATTCTAAATTCAGCAGCCGAGCGGTAAAACGGTTTAACTCGATTATGATTATTGACCAGTTGTCAAGAGATATCTCGAAATCTAGGAGAGATGGCAAAATTTTTGTCATGACCTTTTCTGTAACTCAATCCGCTCTACAAAAAAGGTTCCCCACGAAAATTTTTGTATCTCCCTTAGATTCGGAGATATTCCTCGCAAAGTTAAGGTGCAGCGAAGTCTTAACAAATTATTTTTATTGAGATGTTTCTTTCTTGGAAGGAGTATTATATACTTGAATCAATTTCAAATACATAAGATTTTACGGTAAATATCAATTATTTCTTCTTGAGATACATTTACTTGAATCAAATAAAATAGTCCTTGGCGTCAAGTCACATGCATTCACCACAAAAATGGAAAAGTTCTATTTTTTTAACCTAATGTAATCTCCAGTCGAGATATTTTCTACTTTCATGAATTGATAAAAAATTCGTACCTAGGAGATGATTACATTCAGGAATTACTTGAATGTTGTTTCCTCGAATGAAGCTGATGTTTAAACTGATCTTTCCGTACATCACATTGAACGAAATTTGTGATATCCAAGTTTGTGTTGAATTGCCGTGATCTATGATTCTGTTATTGCACACTAATGCGATTTTTTTAGTCAAGAAATATAAACTTCTTCAACGGAACGACGTTTTACTACAATCTCAAAGCTTTTTCCGCGTAACAATATTCATCCTGATTCGACGTACGAAATGCTCACATCAATTATAATTTACTTGGAACAACGTATGATAGCGTTGACTGAGATAACAACGTATTTAGTCATCAGAATAATTTTGATTTTTGAGTAAATCGACAAATTTCTGGAGTTGGCAAACTTTTGGCTAGAAAGAAATCAAATGCTCTCATTCTTGCGACAAATAAAAGGAACTTCAATTCTAGAGAAGTTTGATTTCTCCCAATCAAATGTATCTCAAGAAGAGATAACTGGTATTCACTATGAAATCATGTTTACTTGAAAATTAACAACCAAATGATAGTTGGCTCGAATAAAATTCGCTTGTTTTTCACTCATCAAATGTACAAAATACATCAACACAGTAGTTACAACATGCAAGTCTGATGGTTATGTAATTTTATTTTCGGTGCTGATTTTCCACGGATATCAACAAGACCCCAAGTCCGGCGTTAATAATAGTAAGTTCAATAAAAAAACCAGAGTCATTAGCATAAACAATAACAACACGTAATTTAACGAATGGTATTGCCTGTTTTCTCGTCTTATTTGCTCACATGTGAATAGCTCTGGGATAAATGGACATCACGTCACCCAATAATTTTCATTATTTTTTTTCCCCATAACACATACGCCATTATTAACGATAAACTAATTGATCAATTACGTTACTAACGTTGAATTAAAATCGTGCTTTTAACAATTTTTTTTTTATTAACCTGCTGCCTTGTGGAACCAGGGAACCGGAGGCACAACGGAGAAATTCGCGGTAATTATTCGAAAATTATAGGTGTGAGAGTTTAATTAACACGAGCACTCATCTGCATCTCAACATTTTAATTAATATTCATTAGTATGGGTGTTGTTTCTTTTTGGGTGCGATACAATCCTTCGGGGGAATTTGATTTATCAGTTAATAATTCTCTCTGCAATCTCCTGTGCATCGTTAGCCTTTTGAGTTTTATTTTTACATTTAATTTTTTTTTCAATTCTTCAGTCAAATTGAATGGAGAAATTATTTCGTAATTCATTACTCTTTCACTCTTCATCTCACCTGTGAATGAGAAAGTGTGTGTTGTGTGTTTCCTGATATGTCTGCCTGCTTTCCTATCGACAAGTAAGATAATTTAATAAATTTGAAGTTTAAATTAATTGAATGAAGTGGTAAAACGTAATGAACTTTCTTGAATGCTCGATGTCTCCCGACCGAATGATGCGATTTGAATAAATCAGGTCTCATTTTAATGTTTGAAAAAATACCTTCAAAATGAAAGAAAAATCGGGAAATTTCACTCTGCCGATCTCAAATTATTGACGATTGAAAACGGTTCATTTTACCCCTCTCAGTTTTGCTACAGATGCATTTATCTCAGAAATGAGAGCTTTTGGGAGAAAATGTGATAAAATCTTTTTTGCAGATCACGAAATCTCACGATCACGATCTCTACAAAAAATCTCTTGTGACATTTTTCCCTAGGACCCCTCATTATCGAGATAATCGCGTATTTATCGCAACGTAAAAGCCGATTTGTTGCATTACGTTTTCACACTTTAGTGTTGACTCGATCGTTCAATATCTCTCGTTTCCGTGAGATTCATGCACTCAATGATAATTCGATACCGATAATTCAGGGGGAATACACATACGATAAATTTATGTGGCACTGTGGGTTCCTGGCACGAGGCAATCACCGAATTCTGAGAATTTTATTGAACGATCAGTCTGGGTGCCGATAATGGAATAGAGTTACGGATTGAAGTGAGAAGCCCTCATTGTTATTATCTTCGAAACAGGGTGAATTAGAGCAACAACTTCTCCAGGCGAATCCCATACTCGAGGCATTCGGAAACGCCAAGACAGTGAAGAATGACAATTCCTCACGTTTTGGAAAATTCATTAGGATCAACTTTGATGCGTCTGGGTATATAGCAGGGGCTAATATCGAAACTTATCTCTTGGAGAAGTCAAGAGCTATTCGTCAGGCTAAGGATGAGAGGACGTTCCATATATTTTACCAGTTACTGGCTGGCGCATCTCCAGAACAAAAGAGTGAGTAGCCCATTTTAATGAGATCCCGATTTATTCTTGACCCCAAAATGTAGAAGAAATCCAAAAAAATTCCGAATGATGTAGCACATTCCGATACTTCTCCCATGAATTTTTCAATGTTTTTTCATTATTTTAAAATTTAGCACGAAATACCTTAACGAAATTTAATACGAAAAAGCAATTTTTTTCAAAGTAGCATAAACGTAACTTGAGTTGTAATGATAAAAATCTAAAATAAATTCTAACCGGATGTTGAGATGAATAAAAATATTCTGGTTGAGTACGGGCTCAATTGACAGTTTAGTATTATTGATAATAATTAATTTAGAAGTGGAAAAATAACACCGAGTCTTATGAAAAAATGAATTCTCCGAGATTAAAATGTAGAAACAATCTCAAAAAATCAGAAAAAAAAATTCTGTGTCTAATACGAAAATTATCATCACTGTCAAACTTTTGTAATAAATAATTTATGTTTCTGGGCACCCCGAAAGTACAGGATGCCGTAGTCAAACGAGCAACTATTGTTTAAGAAAATAATAGTAGACAGAATTTAATGGATTAATTTCTTGCTTTCATCAAAGTTAAAATTCATCTAAGAAATTATCAATGACAAATAATTTTTTTTCGGGCATTTACATCTATTTTTTCTCACTACATTTAACGACTTTCATGAAGTTTGGATATACTGCCGTAAAGTAGTATAACCATAACTTAAATGTTGAAGATAAAAATCTGAGATGAACTCTAAAGAAATTGAATAATTCTAAGAAAATAATGGTAGACAGAATTCGATGGATTAATCTTCTTTCTCGTCAAAGTTTGAATTCCCGTGAGAAATTACCAATGAAGAATAATTTTTCTCGTCATTTTAAATTAATTTCTCCATCACCACTTTAAGCCCACCCCTAAACCCTTAACCAACGTCTCAACTTCTTCTTCCAGAGGAATTCATTCTGGAAGATCCAAAGCTCTACCCCTTCCTCTCGAACGGTGCCCTCCCAGTCCCGGGCGTTGACGACGCAGCCGAGTTCGCGTCCACCGTGAAGTCCATGAACATAATGGGAATGACGCCCGAGGACTTCTCCTCGATATTCCGCATAGTATCAGCAGTGATGCTGTTCGGTTCAATGCAGTTCCGCCAGGAGCGAAACTCGGACCAGGCGACGCTCCCCGACAACACAGTGGCCCAGAAGATCTCCCACCTCCTCGGCCTCAACGTCACCGAAATGACGAAAGCCTTCCTGAAGCCCCGCATCAAGGTGGGCCGTGATTTCGTGACGAAAGCCCAGACGAAGGAGCAAGTGGAGTTCGCCGTCGAGGCGATCTCGAAGGCCTGCTACGAGCGCATGTTCCGCTGGCTGGTGAACCGCATCAACAGGTCATTGGACCGCACCAAGCGACAGGGCGCGAGTTTCATTGGCATTCTCGACATGGCGGGCTTCGAGATCTTCGAGCTCAACTCCTTCGAGCAGCTCTGCATCAACTACACGAACGAGAAGCTCCAGCAGCTCTTCAACCACACAATGTTCATCCTGGAGCAGGAGGAGTACCAGCGCGAGGGAATCGAGTGGAAGTTCATAGACTTCGGACTCGACCTGCAGCCAACAATCGACCTCATCGATAAACCAATGGGAATAATGGCGCTCCTGGACGAGGAGTGCTGGTTTCCAAAAGCGACGGACAAGACATTCGTGGAAAAACTGGTGGGAGCTCACAGTGTCCACCCAAAATTCATGAAGACCGACTTCCGGGGAGTCGCTGACTTCGCGATTATCCACTACGCAGGAAAAGTAGACTACTCAGCAGCCAAGTGGCTGATGAAGAACATGGACCCCCTGAACGAGCACGTGGTGAGCCTTCTGCAGGCCTCGACGGACCCCTTCGTCTGCCACATCTGGAAGGACGCGGAGATCGTTGGAATGGCGCAGCAAGCCCTCACCGACACGCAATTCGGCGCGAGAACGCGAAAGGGAATGTTCAGAACGGTCTCCCAACTCTACAAGGAGCAGTTGGCGAAGCTCATGGTGACCCTCAGAAATACAAACCCCAACTTTGTGCGTTGTATAATTCCGAATCATGAGAAACGAGCTGGGAAGATCGATGCACCCCTGGTGCTGGATCAGCTGAGGTGCAATGGAGTGCTGGAGGGCATTCGCATCTGTCGCCAGGGATTCCCCAACAGGATCCCCTTCCAGGAGTTCAGACAGAGGTACGAACTGCTGACGCCAAACGTCATTCCCAAGGGCTTCATGGACGGCAAGAAGGCCTGCGAGAAGATGATCCAAGCACTCGAGCTAGACCCCAATCTGTACAGAGTTGGACAGTCCAAGATATTCTTCAGGGCTGGAGTGCTGGCGCACCTTGAGGAGGAGCGCGACTACAAGATTACTGATCTGATAGTGAACTTCCAGGCGTTCTGCAGGGGCTTCTTAGCCAGGAGGAACTATCAGAAGCGCCTCCAGCAGCTGAACGCAATCCGGATTATTCAGCGGAATTGCGCTGCCTACTTGAAGCTCAGGAATTGGCAGTGGTGGAGGCTCTACACTAAAGTCAAGCCCCTGCTGGAGGTGACGAAGCAGGAGGAGAAGCTCACTCAGAAGGAGGACGAGCTCAAGCAGGTGCGCGACAAGCTGGAGATGCAGTTGCATTCTGCGCAGGAGTACGAGAGAAAGTATCAGCAGGCGATCGAGGAGAAGACGATGCTGGCTGAGCAGCTGCAGGCGGAGGTGGAGCTGTGCGCCGAGGCCGAGGAGATGAGGGCGAGACTCGCTGCGAGGAAGCAGGAGCTCGAGGAGATACTGCACGATCTCGAGGCGAGGATCGAGGAGGAGGAGGAGCGAAGCACTGCGCTGAATCAGGAGAAGAAGAAGCTGCAGCTGAACATCAGCGATCTCGAGGAGCAGTTGGAGGAGGAGGAGACTTCGAGGCAGAAGCTGCAGCTGGAGAAGGTCCAGTGTGATGGGAAGATAAAGAAACTCGAGGAGGATCTGGCTTTGTCCGAGGATACAAATCAGAAGCTGCTGAAGGAGAAGAAGCTCCTGGAGGAGCGGGCGAACGACTTGTCGCAGACCCTCGCTGAGGAGGAGGAGAAGGCCAAGCATTTGGCCAAATTGAAGGCGAAACACGAGGCGACAATTGCTGATCTCGAGGAGCGTTTACTCAAGGATCACCAGCAGCGCCAGGAGGTGGACAGATCGAAGCGAAAAGTGGAGACCGAGGTGTCGGACCTCAAGGACCAGCTGTCGGAGAGGAAAACTCAGGTGGAAGAGCTCCAGCTCCAGCTGGGAAAACGAGAGGAGGAGTTGAACCAAGTGATGCTGAAGATCGACGAGGAGGCTGCGGCGAAGGCGCAGGCCCAGAAGGCCCTGCGAGAGCTGGAATCTCAGCTAGCTGAGCTCCAGGAGGACTTGGAGGCCGAGAAGGCTGCGAGGAGTAAAGCTGAGAAACTCAAGCGCGACTTGAACGAGGAGCTCGAAGCCCTGAAGAACGAACTCCTCGACTCTCTGGACACAACTGCAGCCCAGCAAGAGCTTCGCAGCAAGCGTGAGCAGGAGCTGGCGACACTCAAGAAGAACCTGGAGGACGAGACGTCGCTGCACGAGGCGACAGTTGCTGACATGCGCCACAAGCACACGCAGGAGTTGACGGCCATAAACGAGCAGATGGACGCACTGAAGAAGTCCAAAGCGGCTCTGGAGAAGGCTAAGAGCACTCTGGAGGCTGAGACAGCTGACATGGCGACGGAGTTGCGATCTGTGGGGGCGAGTCGACAGGAGTCAGACCGTCGGAGGAAGCAGGCGGAGCAGCAGCTTGTCGAGCTCAATGGCAAGCTGGCTGAGGTGGAGAGGACCAAGCAGGAGCTCGCTGAGAGGGTGGCCAAGCTCCAGACAGAAGCAGAAAGCATCTCCCAGCAGCTGGAGACTGCTGAGCTCAAGGCGTCAGCTGCTGTGAAGGCTTCGGCTGTCTGTGAGTCCCAGTTTACGGAGTTGACTCAGCAGCTTGAGGAGGAGACACGTCAGAAGCTGGCACTCTCCTCGAAACTGCGGGCCATCGAGAGCGAGAAGGAGAGCCTGCACGATCAGCTTGAGGAGGAGGAGGAGGCTAAACGTGCGCTGGACAAGCAAGTCCAAGCTTTGACGATTCAACTCGCAGAGGCGAAGAAACGAGGGGACGAGGAGGCCGAGGCTGCTGCAGTCCTCGAAGAGGCTAGGAAACGCTGCATGAAGGACATCGAGGCACTTCAACGTCAGGTTGAGGAGCTACAAGCTGCTAACGACAAGCTCGATAAATCGAAGCGAAAAATTCAAGCTGAACTCGAGGACAGCACTATTGAACTTGAGGTACAGAGGGGCAAGGTCATTGAGCTGGAGAAGAAGCAGAAGAACTTTGATAAGGTTCTTGCTGAGGAGAAAGCTGTGTCTGAGCAGTACGCGGAGCAGAGAGACGCTGCTGAGCGTGAGGCTCGTGAGAAGGAGACTCGTGTGCTGTCGTTGACTCGTGAGCTCGATGAGCTGAACGAGAAGGTGGAGGAGTTGGAGAGGGGCCGGCGAGGGCTGCAGGCTGAGCTGGATGAGCTGGTGAACAACCAGGGAACTGCTGACAAGAATGTTCACGAGCTTGAGAAAGCCAAGCGTGCGCTGGAGTCTCAACTTGCTGAGCAGAGGTCACAGGTTGAGGAGCTTGAGGACGAACTGCAGTTCACTGAGGACGCCAAGCTGCGTCTGGAGGTGAACATGCAGGCGTTGAGGGCGCAATTCGAGAGGGATCTGCAGGCCAAGGAGGAGCAGGCCGAGGAGAAGCGCAGGGGTCTGGTTAAACAGCTGAGGGACATCGAGGCGGAGCTTGAGGACGAGAGGAAACAGAGGGCAGCTGCCATTGCTGCGCGCAAGAAGCTCGAGGCTGATTACAAGGATGTTGAGCAGCAGTTGGAGATGCATAACAAGGTGAAAGAGGATGCATTGAAGCAGCTGAAGAAGCTGCAGGGGCAGATCAAGGACTGCACGAGGGAGACGGAGGAGGCACGTGCTGGGAGGGACGAGCTGGCCACTATTGCGAAGGAGGCTGAGAAGAAGGTGAAGAGTTTGGAGGCTGATCTGCTGCAGTTGACTGAGGATCTTGCTGGGAGTGAGAGGGCGAGGCGTGCTGCGGAAAATGAGAGGGATGAGCTGCAGGAGGAGCTCAATAATAATGCCAATAAGGGGACTCTCATGCTGGATGAGAAACGACGGCTTGAGGCCAGGATTGCTACTCTTGAGGAGGAGCTCGAGGAGGAGCAGTCGAACAACGAAATCTTTGTGGATAGATCGAGAAAGGGACAGATTACTATTGAACAGCTGACTACGGATTTGGCTACTGAACGCTCAGCAACGCAGAAGCTCGAGTCACAGAGATTGCTGCTGGAGAGGCAGAATAAGGAGCTCAAGGCGAAACTCGCGGAGCTCGAGACTGCGCAGAGGGCCAAGACCAAGGCCACCATTCAGGCGCTCGAGTCCAAGATCAGTAATCTTGATGAACAGCTGGAGACTGAGGCGAAGGAGAGATTCGCCCAGCAGAAGGTCAATAGGAAGCTGGATAAGAAGCTGAAGGAGCTGGGACTGCAGTTGGAGGATGAGAGGAGAAATGCTGATCAGTACAAGGAGCAGGTCGAGAAGGCTAATGCCAGGGTTAAGACGCTGAAGAGGCAGTTGGATGAGACCGAGGAGGAGCTCAGCAGGCACAAGGTACAAAAGAGAAAGGCGCAGAGGGAGATGGATGAGATGATCGAGTCGTATGAGAATCTCACGCGCGAGGTCGCCAATCTCAAGAGTAAATTGAGGTAATTGCGGTTTTATTTTAATTTTATGATTTGTTGAATGAATTTCGGAATTGATGAATTCAGGGAAAATTGCGGTGTTGATTTGGAATTATTTCTGGGACGAGGGCCTTTAGGAGAATATGTCGAAAGGCCATTTGTGAAACCGAACGCAGCATTGATGAAATAGTTTCATAATTGCTAGATATGCCATTTTCATTCAAATCGTTTAGTTTCAGTTCCATAAAATGCGAAACGTTAAATTTGCCACCCCCAAAAATCTCTTGATAATTTCTTCTAAATGTACTCTTCAACGAAATAATTCCACAATTATGTAGATAAAAACCTAATCAACTATTCAACAGTTCAATTTTACAATTCGAAACACAGCTAATTTGTTCATATTATTAATTATTCAGACGTGGTGGAGGAGCTCCAATTGGTCTAAGCTCCACAAGACTAACGAAACGCGGTTCAGTCCAGACCGGTGGCTCTGGTGACGACTCGACAACTCAGGACGAGAGCATCGACGGCGAAGAGAGTATCAACTGAATCCTCTCAAACTCTTATGCAATAACACCATTAAAACCCGCATAATAGTACGTCAAACCACCCGTATGAAAAAATACGAAACAGTAAAACGAGACAAAAACATTGAAAAAAAAATCAAGAAGGAACGATGAACTCGAAGATATGAATAATGAATATTCGATCGATTAGAAAAAAATGACACGTGTTGAGTGTCGCCAGCAAGCAAGTAATAGAAAGCAATTTATTTCCTTAATTATTACGTTATCATTATTTTTTTGAAATTCGAATTAGAATTATATATACGAGAATGATAAACTTCCAAACAAGATGCCATCGCTAGAGGGGACGAATATTTAAAAGAAAAATGATGAGAAATAGCGACAAAAAAAATGAAGCAAATGTGTACATAACTTTACAAGCTTAACTAACTAACATTGACCGCCGAGCGGTTTTAATGCAGAAAATAAAAGCGATTGTTGATTCATTAATTATCAGTAACAATTGAACAATCAAGCTGAAGTAATGGATAAACGAGAGAAAATGCATGAGGGGTTAAATCGCTGCATAATTAATATCTCACGGAGACAAAAGGAAAATTAATGAAACTAATGTTTCAAGATGAATGGAAGAAAAAATTAACAAACCGTAGGTAGGAATAAGACATTAATGTTTATTACTATTACATTATTTTATTACTATTATTACGAGACAGCATCATCCCGAATAATATGCGAAAGATACCGTTAGTTACTTCATTTTTTTTAATGATTAACGAGGTAAGACGTAGAGGCAGATAATAAAATGATGGAAAATCAGTTGTTCTTTTTTTTTGTATTTTATGATTTACGATTTTGATTGATTTTTTGTAGATGGAGAACAGAGAAATGATGACAATTTGGGGGTTTGTTTCATTTTAAAAGGTTTTACGTTCTGGCATTTACCTTTCCTTCCAGTATTTCTCCTCTCTAGGCTCTAAAAACTCTCACTTTCTTTTTTTTATCGTCTTTTATACGAATGTACCCGCACATGCATTTATATACATATTTTTCGGCATTATTATATATATAATATATATTTAATGACAGTGTAGGGAGTAAGCTTTCCTCCTTCTCAATCTTTATACATTTGCATTTTTTTTCTTTTGAGAATAAAACGAGAATGAAGTTAGATTTTTTGGGTTTTTTTTCTGTCGGTTCTGGGTGTACTTAAATCATGCATGGCGATTATTCTCTTGTCATCTGCAACCTTTTGAAATGAAATGAGAGGAATTCAGTGAGGAAGTGGGGAAATGTGACAATTACTCGATTTTTCATGTCTGAGACGAAATTCAGGTTCATTCAATCTCCAATATCTTCGAACCTGACAATGCGATTTGGATGAGTCAGAATTCATTTTAAAGTCTGGAAAAATATCTTGAAAATGGGATAAAAATTGTTGATTTTCACTCTGCCGATCTCGAGACATCGAACATTGAAGATTCACTTTGCTTCAATTGAATTAATTAGGTTTTGCCACTTTACATTGAATTCTCTGGAATGAAATGATCTTGAGCTTCTGTTTCTCATTTCTTCCCATCATGTACGAGGATTATTTATCAGTGGAGGAGTTGAAATGGTCTAATCCAGATGTTTATTATTGTGAGAGTTGTCTCCATTCAATTAAAGCAACAAATCAACGAGAATTAATCAACTGATGAACTTAAATCAATGAAGAAACATGAGAACCAGGAAAATTTTATTTACGATTTTTTTATAAATTTATTGAAATATGAAAAATGAAGGGTCACTTTGTATTCAGAGACGTTTTACACATATTGAAATTCATATATTTTTACTGGAAACGATCGTAAAAGGGCTTTTGAGAGGAGATGGAGTGTTGAGAATTGTGTATATAAGTGATTCATGGTCACTTGGTGATTATTCATGGATTAATGAGGGAAAATAATTCCATCTGTGATGTTCGAGGAATAAATTTCACGTGAAACGACAGTGAGTGGCCATCGAATAGCTAAAATAGGATGAAAAATCGTAGGTTTCAATCATGAAGTGAATTTTGATACATTTTTATATAGAAAATGGTAATAACAGTTGCATCTGAATACGTAAGGACACAATAAACATGAAATTTAAAAAATATCAACTTTATTTATTGAGTATGAAATATTAATGATCCACTGAGACTTATCAACGAGTTTTGTGAACAATTCTTTGTTATAGTTTATTTTTCGAACTGTAAAAGAAAATTACTCACTTTATTTTGCAAATATCTAGAAAACGAGTGAATTTAACAAGAAATTTCAAAAGACATTTTTTGTGGAAAATTTGATTTTCTACGAAAAAGATTTTCTGACATTTTTCGCTAAATCCACTTCTCGGGATATTCGCGATTATTCTGTAAGATTTTTCTTTTTTTCATCCTCTCATCTCTCCCTCATGTCATTAAGTGAATCGTTTATTACAGTTCATGAAACAAATTGAAACTGATGAGAGAAAAAATTATTCAGGCTTCTCCTTGAGTGCTTTTAGCTGTCGAGCTAGTGCTGGAGTGCAGAGGTCCAGTGGAGTCTTCTTTTCCCTATTTGTCAACTCCAAACTAGCTCCGTGGGACACTAAGAGCTTTGCCTCAGTGTTTCTGTCCTCCTCGCATGCCAAATGGAGAGCGGAGTTGCCGTAAGCATCAGTTTTGTCTGGAGAAACAAAAAAATCCAATTTGTTAATTCCAATCTTTAATAAATTTGATGAATTAACTTAGAAAAATTGAATTGGATAATTGAAGATCGGGATTAAACTAAAAATACTGTGTCAAATAATTTAACACTGTTTTTTTAAAATTCAAACCATATTTACATAACATTAAAAAATTATAGTTTACAAAGGTTTAATCCTTGAAATTCTGAGATGAATTCAAGATTGTAAAACTTCAAGCCTGAACATTTTCCAGATTTTTTCTTTTTAAAAATTGAGTTAAACTTTGAGATTAGTCGTTCATGAATATTGCGGCGTATTTATTCTTTTCCTCCCTCGATCGTCTCGTTTCTCTTATTCTTTTATCTTCGGTCGTCCGCGGACGTGTCATTTCTTTTCATATCTCTTTTTATTATTTATTTCGCCCCATATTCTTTTAATAACGTAGTTTATTATTGAATGGGCTCATACTTTACAATATCTTCGAACGTATGGGACAACATTTTCCCTCAAAACATTTTTCCTATCTCTCACGTCTTTAAAAAAACGCAAATCTTGAATAAAGTAATTTAAAGGTTCAAAGTAACTGATGAATCGATCTATCGTGTTGGAAAAGACATGGAGAATTCGTCATTACCAATTTTTAATCGATTCCCGTGGGCCAAGAGCATCTTGACAATTTCGACGTTTCCCTTGGAGGCGGCTCGATGAAGCGGCGTGGCGCCGCGATTGTCAGTGATGTTGATATCAGCCCCTTTCTCAATGAGTTTAAGACAGATCGAATGCCAATTCTTGCTGGCAGCGTACTGAAGCGCCGAGTGGCCATCAATCGTTTGGGCATTGACATTGGCACCTTCGGTTATTAAAATCGTCACGACTTTCTCACGACCCGCTGACGCTGCCAGAATCAGAGGTGTCATGTTTGTCTAAAAATAAATGAGATTTTCTCTCATTCGAGATCATTTCGTATGAATTCGTCAAAAGACGATACATTTTCGTATGAATTCATCAAGAGACTTCTTGTGAAAAATTCAATTCTCCGTAAATGTCCGGACATTTTTTTATTTATAAGAACAAATGTTTAAAAAATTGGTAAATTATTCAGCAGGAGATGTTCTTTGAAAATGATTCAATTGTGTAGAAAAAGTCTTCTGATTTTTTCCAGAAAAAAAGAAAGTTTCTGAGATATTCACGCGGACAAAAATTTCTAGTGTCTGGAAAAAAATCAATGATTTTGAGAAACTTATGGGTCTGGAAAGCATTGTACTGAGAATAAGATATTGATTATCTTCATTTGAGATGAAAAATCGTTAGAATTATACTGTAGAGTTATAGAGTTATATCGATTTTTATCGGAAAGTAGAAACTTATTTATTAACATTGATTCAACATTAATTCAGTCAAGGGGTGGATACACTTCTAATAACAAGGCATTCATAAACATGAGTAAATTAATTCAATAAGCAAAATAATTTGAGAAGCCGGCTGTAATGATCTTGATTCAAGAACCTCAAAATTCTTATCATCAGAAATCAAAAGTTCTGAATGTCAGAACAGAAATTTTCTAAAATAAAATAAAATATGTCTAAATTCAAGTCCGACTCATTAGACTTGAGTGGAAATTACAGAGAATTGGAAGTTTTTCCTGTGAATTTTTCAAACGATTTGGGAAATTAAAAAATCAAAATTAATCTCAACTGTTTTTTAAAGAATGCAATTCCCCATTTAAAAAAGTCATTAAACATTTATCTCTCAAACAATTCCTTCTCACGATATTTTTGAGAATCTGTCCTTATAAAAAAGAAAAAAAAATTGAAAAAAAATTAAGATTAAGATTTGAAAGAAGTTGCTTTCGCGCATAAAAAAAATTCAAGATGGCAGCGCCCAGTGAATGCCCCAGTCATGATCCGGTGAGTTTCACCTTCGAACTATGAACCACTTGAACAAAATAAAACGATAAAGCGACTCACATCGTCCTGAGGGTCAACGGGAGCCCCCAGAGACAGAAGAAACTGCACTAACTCGTGATGTCCACCGAGAGCTGCCCAATGCAGCAGCATCCGTCCGTTCTGCATTGAAAAAATGAGGTTAGACCCTCCAATCTTCCGCACCTCGATTTAATACTCACACTGTCAATTTGTGTCTTGAACGTCTCATCCTCCGTAATGAGCTTCATTACAGCGGTGGCATTGCCCTCGTACGCCAAGTCAAAGATACTCGGATTTGGTCGAGCCATTTTTCACTGGAGAATTTCAACCCGATTGACAGATTCGTGTTTACCTCCTCTGATATAGACTAGCAATTGCGTGCGGGGTAGATAAACTTGGCAGATGAAATAAACACAGACACAGATAACAGATAAGCAGATAACCTCAATTATCTTGCATTAGATTTGGAATTTCTCTAAATTATAAAAATTTGGTACTGGAAGGGTCACAAGAGTCATGAGGATCTGAATAAGGGTCACGAGGGTTATAATGAGGATCAGATTAAGGATCCAAATAAGGGATCCTCGGGACCCTTTGTATCACTAATCGAACCCCATTCGGATCCAAATAAGGGTCACAAGGGGCAGAAACAAGGGTCAAGGGTCACGGTGGAAGCAAATTAAGGAGCACAAGGGTCAAGAAAAGGTTCAATAGGTTCAGAGTAAGGGTCATGAGAGATAGAATAAGGGTTACAAGGGTTAGATTAAGGGTCGCAAGGGTCATGAGTGTCAGAATAAGGGTCACGAGGGTTATAATGAGGATCAGATTAAGGATCCAAATAAGAGAATGATACTCGTGACCCTTTACCCTACCCATCGAATCCCATTCGAATCCAAATAAGAGACAGAATAAGGGTCATGAGGGTTATAATGAGAATCAGATTGAGTATCCAAATAAGGAAATGATCCTCGTGACCCTTTATACCACTAACCGAATTCCATTCGGATCCAAATAAGGGTCACAAGGGGTAGAAACAAGGGTCATGGGGGAGGCAAATTAAGGAGCATGGGGTTCAGAAACTCGGGGTCAAAGTAAGGGTCTCAATATATCTCTCTATATTATAAAAATTCAAATTGACTTCTCGTGGAATTTGGGTCACAAGGGTCAAAATGAGGGTCACCTTTTGAAGTTTCACTTGATATCCTCTATCCCTAATTTTTCTTCCGTTGCAAATACTTTCAGAGACCAACCAGACCCAAAAAAGGCGAATCTTTGTAATTATTACCCTATTTTAATGATATTTTAATGTCATTATATGTCGTTTTAATGGTATATAATGTCATTAAAATATGTCATTAAATATTTTAATGACATTAAATGTCATTAAAATTTACCGCGAAGCGGTAAAACGATTTAAGTGGATTTAGCCTATTGACCAGTTTACAATGAATATCTCGAAATCTAAGGGAGACAGCAAAATTGTTGTCATGACCTTTTTTGCAGCCCTGAGTTCACCCCACAAAAAAGTTCATTACGAAAATTTCGTTATCTCCCTTAAATTCCGAGATATTCCTCGAAAACTCGGCTAAGGGCCAAGTCGACTGAACCGTTGAACCGCTTCGCTACTGATGTAACCGACGAATGTTCACGTCTCCTCCAAATCCTCTCTTTCACCGCTCCCAATTGTGAAAGGCTGACCCAGCCCGTCTCTCCCTGCGGTACCACTTCGCAACATAATTGTAATTCCGGTTGTTACCAAACACTTCCGCGAGCAACATCACAGTCTCGCCGTCTCCGTCTCCTCCAGAAATGTTAAATCCCGTGAGCCGTCGATGCCCCATCATATTCAACGTGGCGCGAATGCACGCGTGATTATGGAAATATTTTCTTTGAAATGCATTCCACTGGAAGCCTCTCGATATTCAAAATTCGACCTGACGTTGATTTCCCCTCCCCCTCATCCGCAGTCGGATCCTTTAACAGGCCTTCTGGATTCCAAAGAAGGAAGTTATTCCCTGACGATGAATAAAATTTATTCGTATCGACATTTTCACGTTGGGTCCCTCTAGTCCATTGCGGAAGTTCCATTCAGGTCATAAAGGCGTTTTGCGGGTGAAAGAAGCGAGTTTTTTTCTACCCAATCAAAATGTTTGTTAGTCTCTTTGTGGATACAAAGGGGAAATACATGGGGGACTGGACAGTATTCAAATTGTTATGATTTTTTTGTTCTATTGTTATTTCTCTCTGATGATGGAAATTCCACGAGGCAAGACAATAATAGACAATGGAAAATGGCGAATAAAACGAGTATTTCATTGAATGAATATTTTCGTTGTTTAATGAATGAGGGGAAATTTAAATTTAATGTCGAGCTGGAAAAGGCTCCTCCATATTTTTAATTTTTTATTCAAGCATTTGTGACCTTTCGGGCTCTTACATGCTTCTCCATATTTAATTTAGAAATTTAATTACATTAATGACGTCAGGATGAGAATGTAAATTCTATGTAATATTTTTACTCGAATTTATAATGAATAGGAAATAATTCATAAAGAATTATTTTACAGTTGCTTGCAGAACGTCTGTCTAGAACTTTTATTTCATTGAATAAAAATTTTCGGTGTTTAATAAATTGGGGGAAATTTGAATTCAAAGTTGTTAGGTTGTCGAGTTCAATTGAATAAAATTGACGAGTGACTCTGGGCGAGAATGTGTGAACTCCATGTGATACGTTGGCTTGAATTTTAAATAAATATAGAATGATTTATTTTGTATGATTTTTCTCGTTTCTAAAAAAAATGGAAGCAAAATAGCGAACAAAATGACTTCTTCATTGAATGAATATTGACGTTACTTAATGAATGAATGGAAATTTAAATTTAAAGATATTGAGTTGAAAAAGATTTATCCATATTTAATTTATAAATTGCCTCATATAGTTGACGTCTGGATAAGAAAGTAAATTTTATGTAATATTTTTGCTCGAATTTATAATGAATAGGAAATAATTCATAAAGAATTATTTTACAGTTGTTCGCAGAACATTCGTCTAAAACTTCTATCTCATTACGTGAATATTTTTGTTGTTCAATTCAATTGAATAAAAGCGATGAGTGAAAATGATTCATTAGTGTGAGTTTTCTCGTTTCTAATAAAATAATTAGAATCAAAACAGCGGACAAAATGACTTCTTCATTGAATGAATATTTACGTTGCTTAATAGATGAATGGAAATTTAAATTCAAAGATATTGAGTTGAAAAAGGTTCATCCATATTTAATTTATAAATTGAATCATATGGATGACATCTGGATAATAATGTAAATTCTACATGATATTTTACTCGAATTTCCACGAAATATAAAATAATCCAGAAAGAAATCCTATAGTTATCTCTAGAACATCTAAAACTTTTATTTCGTTGCATGAATATTCTTGTTGTTTAACAAGTGAAACGAGAATTCGAATTTGTGGAATTAAAGAAGCTCAATCGATATTCATCAATTTAAATCGATGATTGACACCTTGGCGAGACAGCGAACTCCATGCGATATTTCTACTTATTTCTATGATATATTGAATAAATATATAATAATCGATTGATAAAGTATTTCTACTGCTGTCTACGACTCCTCTCTTCTCTTCAAAATACCCGACGGTTTTCACCGAAAAATTTAGCGAAATCCTCTGAGCACCATCTTCCCCCTCGGAAAATACTCGAGACTCGAAAGAATTGATTCCAGCGATTTCTCACCTCTCAAAATTCAATTCATCCGGCAATCTCCTGGTTGACAACCCCTCTCAATAAATGAAGTTAAAAAAAATAGACCATGAACTCTCTCCATCATCCAGCGCGGTCGATTGCCACTATCCGGACGGGGGTGCGCACTACGTGGCTCTAGTAGTCTATACATTATTTTTTTTCCCCAATCGTTTTTTATATTTCCTTTTATCCTCCTCACGGGGCATTTTTTTTGTCGTGCTTCTAACGTTCGGAAAACGCTCAACTGCCCTCAATTGGAAAATCAAACACTCAACGCTGGGTGCACTCGTTCACCACGTACCATGTTTGTGTTCGACGAAACGTGACAGGAGCACCCTCGGTCTTCCTTAGTGAGGTTTTTTTTGGATTATTATTGATAATCGTAACTGACTTTGTCAATTGGAGTATTGAGTCGACGGAATTTTTTTGGACAAGGAATTGAAAACAAGTGGGAAATTGCCGTGGTCATGACATAGTCAATACATTTTTGCTAATAAATTAGCAATTTGCTTTTTTATGGAATTTTCATGATGATGTATTCTAAATTAAATTCAGTGGTTCATTGAATTCATTATTGTCTCAACGTTAAAATTGCTTACCTTCATTCTTCCTAAATATTAATTTAAAAATACACTTTTTCAGCAACGGATGATGGAATTAATTTCGTGATTGAACTCGGTCAATGTAGCGTTAGAAAGAATATTTTAAATCACAATTGGATTTATTTAAATAATTCTTTCCTTTGTACGTCAACAATTATTTGTGAAAAATTTCTTTTTTTCAATTCCCTTGTTCGTCTTGAAATATTTTTTCTTATTTTGCTGTTTGGCTTCTTGCGGTCCGGGGGGGCTTCGCCCCTCACGAAGGGGCTGGGCCCCCCGGACTTCCTCCCGCGCGGCTATCTCCCCCGCGACTGAAACTGACAGTTCTCTTCGATTTTTCCCTGAAATTCTGAATGTTCAATGACGAAATTCCGGGAAATTTCAGTGCACGGAGAGAAATATTCAGTAAAAATTACGGAACAATTCACGTAATCCGCAATGGGAAATCATATTCCGGCAATTTTTATAGGAATGGAAGAGAAGAAATCTGAAACATTCAGTGAATTCTCAGGTTCATCACCGAACAAAGTACGAAATTGTCACGTCATTTTTCCCGAAGAAGTAAAATCTTACAGAAACTTGCCGACTGATTATGCCTCCAAAATCAAAAATTCTTGAGCATTGAACAATTTTTATGAAACTGGTGAGTTATTTCTACGTTTCGTTCCGTAAAATTTCTCAATCGTTGGGGAAAAATTACGGAACGACTTGTTGTCGCCACTGCGGTGAGTCATCAGACGGGTGGTTAATTTTTACGGAACAAATCGTAGAATTTACGTGGCGATTCGTACAATTTCAGTTCCGACTCCCACTTTTTATTGAATTTTACATCGCCGGCAGATTACGTTTCGAAACGTAATTTTACCTTTTTTTCTGGTAATTTTTATTGAATTCGTCTCTCCGTGTGGTAATTAAATTCGATAAAAATTTCCAAAAAGCGTACCGGAGATTTCAGACATAAATTTTCAACAGTAACAATCACCGACTGAACATTTGGTGAGACCGAGT